CATATGATACTGTAACTTGTAAGTATATTTGTCTAGGTATATATGCACACATAGGTTTGTGTGTGATGTAAATGGAGTTCTGAAATTGAACAGTGTCACACACTTGTACAATGTAACCAGAATTGTATGAGTAACGGTTGTAAGGCAAACATGACATCACAATTTTCTGTTCCACGAAACAAATCCATGAGCTCATGCCATTGGATCTTACTTATTTCAGGCAATAGTCACACTGTTGGTGGGTAGTGGGAATGCTAAGTTCATCTCTCTCTCTCTTTTTATTTTTTTGAGATGGAGTTTTGCTCTTGTTGCCCAAACTGGAGTGCAATGGCATGATCTTGGCTCACCGCAACCTCCACCTCCTGGGTTTAAGCGATCTCCAGCCTCTGCCTCCCAACTAACTGGGATTAAGGCATGCACCACCATGCTCATCTAGTTTTTTGCATTTTTAGTAGAGACAGGGTTTCTCCATGTTGGTCAGGCTGGTCCCAACCTCAGGTAATTTGCCCACCTCAGCCTCCCAAAGTGGTGGGATTACAGGCATGAGCCACCGTCCTGGCCCAGTTCATCTCTTTTTGGTGGCATTGTAGTATCTTTGCTCACAAGGCTAGAGGTCAGGAGGCATAGAAAAAAAATGGGTTTGGGGATCAAAGACTGGGATGGGGGATCAAAGACTGGGATGAAATCCCAAACCTAACGGCTAATAGCTATGACATTAGCTCAGGCAAGTGACTTTATCTCTCTGTGACTATTCATAAAATTTATAAAATTGGAATAGCAATACTTCTCTCACTAGTATATTGTGAACTTTAAACAAAATATTTTTTGTAAAGTTTGTATCTGAGAGCTTGACAGAGCAGGCACTCAAAAAATTTTAGCCTGTTGGCTGGGAGCAGTGGCTCACACCTATAATCCCAGCACTCAGGAGGCTGAGGCAGGTGGATCACGAGGTCAGGAGTTCAAGACCAGACTGGGCAATATGGTGAAACCCCGTCTCTACTAAAAAATACAAAAATTAGCTGGACATGGTGACTTGTGCCTGTAATTGCAGCTACTTGGGAGGCTGAGGTAGGAGAATTGCTTGACCCAGGACCCAGAAGACGGAGGTTGCAGTGAGCCAAGATCACGCCACTGCACTCCAGCCTGGGCTACAGAGCAAGACTCCATCTCAGAAAAAAAAAAAAAAGTTAGCTTGCTTCACATTATAAATATAGCCCAGAACAATAGTAATGCACGCATGTGTATGGGTTCATGCTTACAGGCTGCCATGTGAATATACTCTAGTTAACTATTCTAAAAACGGGCTTTGTATGGATCCAGTAAAGTCTGTCATTCTAGAAGTTATCAGAACCAGATCAATCAGAGTTCACAAAGGAGATGAAGAAGATAAAGTAGAAAAGTCAGAATCCACAGAAATTTCCTGCTTTGAAAGGGTTTTTTTTTTTTTTTTGGCACTTTAATGAAGTATGTGTGTTTTTGTGTGTCTGCATGTGTATAAAATCCAACAGAGGCCAGGTGCAGTGGCTCAGGCCTGTAACCCCAGCACTTTGGGAGTCCAAGGCAGGCAAATCACAAGATCAGAAGTTCAAGACCAGCCTAGCCAACATGCTGAAACCCTGTCTCTACTAAAAATACAAAAATTAGCTGGGCATGGTGGCATGTGCCTGTAATCCCAGCTACTTAGGAGGCTGAGGCAAAAGAATTACTTGAACCCTGGAGGTAGAGGTTGCAGTGAGCCAAGATCACACCACTGCACTCTAGCCTGGGCAACGGAGTGAGACTGTGTCTCAAAAAAAAAAAAAAAAAAAAAAAAAAAAAAAAAAAAATCCAACAGAACATTTTAAATATTAGTGCATATAGCCAGTATTCATTTAGATTTACCACATATCTGCCGTTTTTGTTCCTCTTCCTTCCTTCCTGAGGAATTCTATCTACAAACTTTGATCTAGATTCATTTTTTTCCCCGCTACCTAAAGAATACCTTTTAGTATTTTCTGGAATGGAGATCTGTTGGTGCTGAATTTTTTGTTACTTTTTGTCTGAATATGTCTCTATGGAAGGATCTTTTTGCTCCATATAGAATTCTTGATTGGCGATTCTTTTTCTTCGGCACTTTGAAGATATTCCATTGTCCGCTGGATTCCATTATTTTTGTTGAGATGTAAAATGTGAGTTCAATTGTTGGTTATTTGGAGGTAATATGTATTTTGTTCTAGAGGCGCGCGTGTGTGTGAAATGGAGTTTCTCTCGTCGCGCAGGCTAGAGTGCGATGGCGTGATCTTGGCTCACTCAACCTCTGCCTCACAGGTTCAAGCAGTTCTCCTGCCTCAGCCTCCCAAGTAGCTGGGATTATAGGTGCTTGCCACCACAACTGGCTAATTTTTGTATTTTTAGTAGGGACAGGGTTTCACCATGCTGGCCAGCCTGGTCTTAGAGTAAAGTAGTGTGATCTCTGCTCACTGCAACCTCTGTCCCCCAGGTTCAAGTGATTCACCTGCCTCAGCCTCCTGAGTAGCTGGGATTACAGGCGCATGCCACCACACCCGGCTTCATTTTGTATTTTTAGTAGCAACAGGGTTTCGCCATGTTAGCCAGGCTGGTCTCAAACTCCTGACATAAAGTGATCCACCCGCCATGGCCTCCCAAAGTACTACGATTATAGGCATGAGCAACCATGCCCCGCCTTTTTACTACCTTATTTGCTGTCCAGTACAATAAGAAAAAAAAAATTAAACATTTTGTCTAGAGTTTTAAAATTTGTTTGCATATATTTTTGTTCAGTTTTTAGTAGTTATCCTCAGAATGAAGGTTGGTCCAAATTACCTAGTCTACTACATCTAGAAGAAACATTGAAAATTGCCTTTTTTTTTTGAGATGGAATCTCACTCTGTCACCCAGGCTGCAGTGCAGTAGCACAAACTCAGCCCACTGCAACCTCTGCTGCCTGGGTTCAAGCGTTTCTCCTGCCTCAGCCTCCAGAGTAACTGAAATTACAGGCACCTGCCATTGTGCCAGGCTGATTTTTGTATTTTTAGTAGAGATGGGGTTTCACCCTATTAGCCAGGCTGGTCTTGAACTCCCAGACTTGTGATCCACCCACCTCAGCCTCCCAAAGTGCTGGGATTACAGGCCTGAGCCACCACGCCTGGCCTATCCAGTAAATATTTATTAAGCTCCAACCACATGCTGCATCCTTTTGTTGTTGTTTGCTTTTTGAGAAGGAGTCTTGCTCTGTTGCCCAGGCTGGAGTGCAGTGGCACAATCTTGGCCCACTGCAACCTCTGCCTCCTGGGTTCACGTGATTCTTGTGTCTCAGCCTCCCAAGTGTCTGGAATTACAGGTGCCCAACACCAGGCCCAGCTAATTATTTTTATTGGAGATGGTTTCACCATGTTGGCCAGGCTGGTCTTGAACTCCTGACCTCAAGTGATCTACCCACCTCGGCCTCCCAAAGTGCTGGGATTACAGACGTGAGCCACTGCGGCCAGTCACCAAGCATCCTTTTAGGGGCTGGGGACTCAGTGGTAAACACATCATGCCTGCCTCCTCGAAATCACCTACAGTCTCACTCTGATCCGTCTTTAGTCCTGTCCTGTATGATAACAGTTGTCCATTGAGCTCATAAAATCTAAAACCATGCTGGGCTTCTGAGGCCCACAGAGCCTAGCTCGGTGCTAAAAGCTAAGTGGTGCTCTGTCATTGCTGGGGTTCAAGTGACTGATTCTAACAGCGATCAGCTATAGAGCTAACACTTGGTGGAATATTTTAAATACCGATGGCCTTTTCACTGGTTTCTGCCTATGGTAAGTACAGGTACACCCAAAAGTGAAGAGCCTCATTTATAGTGTGTTGCTGGGGGAGAGGGAGGTTTGCAAACTGAGTCATTTTTTTCCCCATTCAGCCTGTGTGTGTCTGTGTGTCGGCCTGTGTATCTGTGTGCATGTGCCTGTGTATGTGTGTATCTGTGTGTGAGTGCCTGTGTGCATGCGTGTGCCTGTGTATCTCTGTATGTATGTGCGTGCCTGTGTGTGCACCTGTGTATGTGTGTATGTGCCTGTGTATCTGTGTGTGTGCCTGTGTCTGTGTATCTGTCTCTGTATGTCTGTGCGTGTCTCTGTGCCTGTGTATGTATGTGCGTGTCTGTGTATGCCTGTGTGTATGTGCCTGTGTATGTCTGTGTGTATATCTGTGTCTGTGTATGCCTGTGTATCTGTGTGTATCCCTGTGTCTATCTATCTCTGTATGTCTGTATGTGCGTGTCTGTGTATCTGTGTCTGTGTGTCTGTATCTGTGTATGCCTGTCTCTGTATGTCTGTGCGTCTGTGTGCCTGTGTATGTGTCTGTGTGTATGTATCTGTGTGCGTGTGTGTATCTGTCTCTGTATGTGTGCCTGTGTATGTCTGTATGTGCCTGTATGTATCTGTGTGTGTGCCTGTGTACCTGTCTCTGTATGTCTGTGCATGTCCGTGTGCCTGTGTATGTCTATGCCTGTATGTATGTATCTGTGTGTGTGTCTGTGTATGCCTGTGTCTGTGTCTCTGTATGTATCTGTGTGTGTGTCTGTGTATCTCTCTGTATGTGCATGTCTGTATGCCTGTGTATGTCTGTGTATGTGCCTGTGTCTGTATGCCTGTGTATGTGCCTGTGTATGTCTGTATGTGTGTGTGCCTGTGTGTATGTCTGTATGTGTGTGTGCCTGTTTATCTCTGTCTGTGTCTATATGTATCTGTGTATGCCTGTGTGTCTGTATATCTGTCTCTGTATGTATGTGCGTGTCTGTGTGCCTGTGTATGTCTGTCTGTGCCTGTGTGTCTGTGTGTATGTATCTGTGTGTGCCTGTGTATCTGTCTCTGTATGTGCGTGTCTGTGTACCTGTGTGCCTGTGTGTCTGTGTATGTATCTGTGTGTGTGTGTGAGTTCATACGTGTGCTTAAATCAAAGAAAAAACGTTTTCATTTGTTCCCTTCCTCCTTCCTCTCTGTCTCTCCCTGTTTCCACAGGTCAGCGTTGAAGTTTTGGTAGAGTATCCTTTTTTTGTGTTTGGACAGGGCTGGTCTTCCTGCTGTCCGGAGAGAACCAGCCAGCTCTTTGATTTGCCGTGTTCCAAACTCTCAGTTGGGGATGTCTGCATCTCGCTGACCCTCAAGAACCTGAAGAACGGCTCTGTTAAAAAGGGCCAGCCCGTGGATCCCGCCAGCGTCCTGCTGAAGCACTCAAAGGCCGACGGCCTGGCGGGCAGCAGACACAGGTATGCCGAGCAGGAAAACGGAATCCACCAGGGGAGTGCCCAGATGCTGTCTGAGAATGGCGAACTGAAGTTTCCAGAGAAAATGGGATTGCCCGCAGCACCCTTCCTCACCAAAATAGAACCCAGCAAGCCTCCGGCCACGAGGAAGAGGAGGTGGTCGGCGCCGGAGAGCCGCAAACTGGAGAAGTCAGAAGATGAACCACCTTTGACTCTTCCTAAGCCTTCTCTAATTCCTCAGGAGGTTAAGATTTGCATTGAAGGCCGGTCTAATGTAGGCAAGTAGAGGCAGCGTGGGGAAAGGAAACGTGGCTCTCCCTTATCATTTGTATCCAGATTACTGTACTGTAGGCTAAATAACACAGTATTTACATGTTTTCCTCTTATTTTAGGTTTCTGTTCTAACCTTGTCATTAGAGTTACAGCAGGTGTGTCGCAGGAGACTGGTGCATATGCTTTTTCCACGAGTGTCAGTGAGCAGGCGGGAGGAAGGGGGCTCCAGGCATCCCCTGGGAAGAAAGGAGTGGGGCTTCAGGGGCACCCGCCTTCTCTAGCAGCACAGAAGCAGCCCGGGGCGCTGACTCCTGCTAGTTTCAGGGGAAAGTTCCGTGGGAAGGGTCCTGCAGAGTTGCAGGGGTGCATGCATGTGGGGGTGCAGAGGCGCTGTGGTGGCCGGTGAGGGTCTCTTTTTCTCTGCCTCCCTCTCTCGCTATCAGCATGGGACTGGGGATTCAGAGCAGGGTCCTCCTGGGGTTCCCATGTACACGATCAACAGCAGGAACCCAGCTTCAGGGCATCGCAGAGACGCGTCAGATGGCAGATTTGGAAAGCTAACCATTTAAAAGAACATTTTTCTCTCCAACATTTTACAGTAAAAGCAACTTTTAATTGTATAGATATATATTTCCCCCTATGGGGCCTGACTGCACTGATATCTTTTTTTTTTTTTTTAAAGAGCAACTGCCACATGCGGGATTTCATTTCTGCTTTACTAGTGCAGTGATGTCACCAGGGTGTCGTGGACAGGGAAGCCCCTGCTGTCATGGCTCCACGTGGGGTAAGGGGGTTTGGGGGTGGGGCGGGGAGAGAGTGAACACCCACGCTGGTTCCTGTGCAGTGTCAGGAAGACCTATCAGGTTACTGCCTTGACTTCACTCCCAAGAGGTAGATGCAAACTGCCCTTCCGTGACAGCAACGGAAGCTCTTCTCAATGAGTTTGCAAAATCTGTCTTTTAATTCTAGTACTGTTTATAGTTCATGACTATGGACAACTCGGGTGCCACTTTTTTTTTTTTTCAGATTCCAGTGTGACATGAGGAATTAGATTTTGAAGATGAGCATATATTACTATCTTTAAGCATTTAAAAATACCGTTCACACTTTATTACCAAGCATCTTGGTCTCTCATTCAACAAGTACTGTATCTCATTTTAAACTCTTTGGGAAGAGGAAAAAAAAAAAAAACTAAGTTGCTTTCTTTTTTTCCAACACTGTAACTACATTTCAGCTCTGCAGAATTGCTGAAGAGCAAGATATTGAAAGTTTCAATGTGGTTTAAAGGGATGAATGTGAATTATGAACTCGTGTGTGACAATAAATGACCAAGTACTACCTGACAGGAGGCACTTTCACTTTGATGTCTGAGAAACAGTTACAGGCATATGCAGAGTGGGCAGAGGAACTGAGGAAAGGGATGGAGAAGAGAATACTCATTTTTGTCCAGTGTTTTTCTTTTTAAGATGAACTTTTAAAGAACCTTGCAATTTGCACATCTTGAGTTTGTAATTTGTGTGATATTCCTGCAGTTTTTATCCAATAACATTGTGGGAAAGGTTTGGGGGACTGAACGAGCATAAATAAATGTAGCAAAATTTCTTTCTAACCTGCCTAAACTCTAGGCCATTTTATAAGGTTATGTTCCTTTGAAAATTCATTTTGGTCTTTTTACCACATCTGTCACAAAAACCCAGGTCTTAGTGGGCTCTTAGAAACTCTGAGAATTTTCTTCAGATTTGTTGAGTTTTCCATAAAAACATTTATATATGTGAGCAAGATTTTTTTTAAAACAATTGCTTTATTAGTGTTATTTTCAGAATGACTTTTTTTTCTATTCAAAATCAAATCAAGATTTAATGTTTGGTACAAACCCAGAAAGGGTATTTCATAGTTTAAACCTTTCATTCCCAGAGATCTGAAATATCATTTGTGGGTTTTGAGTGCATCTTTAAAGTGCTTTAAAAAAACGTTTTATAAGTAGGGAGAAATGTTTAAATATTCTTACTTCGAGGGCTGCAGCGAACCTAAACAAATCCATACTCGATTTTTCTTTTACCCCCTTGAAAATAGTATTTCCTTCATTTCACAAATTAAAAAACAAAAATCTGACATCATCAGCCCACATTTTGGCTATCTAGTATTCATTTACATTTAGCACTCAGCAGGACTAATGATTTTTGTAAACCATTTTCTGGGGTGTACCAAAAACATCTGAATAGGTTTAGAATAGCTAGAATAGTTCCTTGACTTTCCTGGAACTTCATTACCCTCTCAGCATGCTTGCAGAGAGGTGGGTGGGCTCATTCTTGCGGTCAGACTGCTTAGTTAGTGCTGTATTTTTTAAACGTTTCTGTTCAGAGAACTTGCTTAATCTTCCATATATTCTGCTCAGGGCACTTGCAATTATTAGGTTTTTCTTTTTGTTTTTTAACCTTTGATGGTAAGAGGAATACGGGCTGCCACACAGACTTTGTTCTCGTTAGTATCACTATTGACAACTCATGTGGACTCAGAGAAACACACACCACCTTTTGGCTTACTTCGAGTACAGAACTGACTGGATCCACTAAACTAACACTAAGATGCGAAAACACACGTGGTTTGCAGCAATAGGAACATCATCATTTTTGTGGTTCTATTTCAGGTATAGGAATTATAAAAATAATTGGTTCTTTCTAAGCACTTGTCCCATTCATTCTCTTGCTTTTTTAGCATGTGCAATACTTTCTGTGCCAATAGAGTCTGACCAGTGTGCTCTCTAGTTAAAGCTTATTCCCTTTCCGCTTCTTCCTTGTTTGGTTGATCTTCCCCATTCTGGCCAGAGCAGGGCTGGAGGGAAGGAGCCAGCAGGGAGAGCGCCTCCCACCTTTCCCTTGCTGCAGATGCTGAGTGCTGGGGCGGGCAGCCTTCAGGAGCCCCGTGCGTCTGCTGCCGCGTTGCAGAAAAAGCCAGCCAAGGAGACCTGTCACCACATGGAATAGTGAATGTGGAGTGTGGAGAGGAAGGAGACAGATTCATTTCTGAGACGCACTCTGGAGCCAGGTAGCCTGGAGTCAACCCATTTTCCACGGTCTTTTCTGCGAGCGGGTAGGCCCCCTCCTCGGAGTCTGTGTCCTTGAGACTTGGAGCCCTGCCTCTGAGCCTGGACAGGAAGTATGGCCTGTTGTGCGTGTGTTCTGAGCGTGCTGGCCAGTGGCTGTGGAGGGGACCACTGCCAACCACGGTCACCACTCCCTGTGGTAGCTTTCTCTTCAAATAGGAAGAATGCACAGAGGGCAGGAGCCTCCTGTTTGCAGACGCTGGCGGGCCCCGAGGCTCCCAGAGCAGCCTCTGTCACCGCTTCTGTGTAGCAAACATTAACGATGACAGGGGTAGAAATTCTTCGGTGCCGTTCAGCTTACAAGGATCAGCCATGTGCCTCTGTACTATGTCCACTTTGCAATATTTACTGACAGCCGTCTTTTGTTCTTTCTTTCCTGTTTTCCATTTTTAAACTAATAACAGCAGGCCTTTTGCGTTTACAGTGGAACACAATCACCAAGAAATTAGTCAGGGCGAAAAGAAAAAATAATAATATTAATAAGAAACCAACAAACAAGAACCTCTCTTTCTAGGGATTTCTAAATATATAAAATGACTGTTCCTTAGAATGTTTAACTTAAGAATTATTTCAGTTTGTCTGGGCCACATTGGGGCAGAGGGGGGAGGGAGGGATACAGAGATGGATGCCGCTTACCTCAGATCTTTTAAAGTGGAAATCCAAATTGCATTTTCATTGGGACTTTCAGGATAATTTTCTATGTCGGTCAATTTTTCGTTTTCCCTTACTCACCCAGTTTAGTTTGGGATGATTTGATTTTTGTTGTTGATCCCATTTCTAACTCAGAATTGTGAGCCTCTATGTTTTCTGTTAGGTGAGTGTGTTGGGTTTCCCCCACCCCACCAGGAAGTGGCAGCATCCCTCCTTCTCCCCTAAAGGGACTCTGCGGAACCTTTCACACCTCTTACTCAGGGACGGGGCTGGTGTGTGTGTGGTACACTGATGTGTCCAGAAGCAGCACTTTGACTGCTCTGGAGTAGGGTTGTACAATTTCAAGGAATGTTTGGATTTCCTGCATCTTGTGGATTACTCCTTAGATACCGCATAGATTGCAATATAATGCTGCATGTTCAAGATGAACAGTAGCTCCTAGTAATCATAAAATCCACTCTTTGCACATAGTTTGATCTTTACAGAAATATGTTGCCAAAATTTTTGTTGTTGTAGCTCTGGATTTTGTTTTTTAAGGAAATGATTGACAATACCCTTTTAACATCTGTGACTACTAAGGAAACCTATTTCTCTCACAGAAAAATCTCCAGTGCTTTTGAAGACACTAATGTCATGCTATTTCAGATATGGGTGAGGAAGCAGAGCTCTCGGACCGAAGGCCAGGCTTCTTGAGCTGTGCAGGTTGTCATGGCTACTGTTTCAGGAGCCACAAGCAGCTCAACAGACTGGTCTGTTGTCTTCTGAAACTCTTTGCACTTCAATTTGCACCAGGTGAAAAGAGGGCTGGCAGACTCCGTGGCCCAATTCAGTTTCTTCGGTGGTGATATGAAAGGAAAGAGAATTACAATTTTTTTTTTTTTTGTAAGTGGAGTGGAGGCCTTTGCTTCCACATTTGTTTTTAACCCAGGATTTCTGAAATAGAGAATTTAAGAACACATCAAGTAGTAACACGGAGAATATACTTTTTTATAAAGCACACGCACCTGCTATTGTGTTAGGTTGGTTTCCTCTCTTTTCCACGGACAGTGTTGTATTTCTGGCATAGGGAAACTCCAAACAACTTGCACACCTCTACTCCGGAGCTGAGATTTCTTTTACATAGATGACCTCGCTTCAAATGTTACCTTACTGATAGGATCTTTTCTTGTAGCACTATAACCTTGTGGGAATTTTTTTTTTTTAATGTACACCTAATTTGAGAAGCTGAAGAAAACAAAATTTTGAAGCACTCACTTTGAGGAGTACAGGTAATGTTTTTAAAAATTGCACAAAAGAAAAATGAATGTCGAAATGATTCATTCAGTGTTTGAAAGATAATGGATCTGTTGAAACAATGAGTTTCATACTTTGTTTGTTTTAAAAAAAAAATGAAAAAGCAGAGAAGGGTTGAAAGTTACATGTTTTTTTGTACATAGAAATTTGTCATGTCTAAATGATCAGATTCGTATGGTTACGGCCAGGAAGAATTACTACGTAAAAGGCTCTTAAACTATACCTATGCTTATGTTGTTTTTGTTACACATGGCCCTCGTCTGAGGGAGGGGAACTCGTATTCTGCTATTTGAGAATACTGTTCATTCCTATGCTGGAAGTACTTCTCTGAGCTCCCTTCTTAGTCTAAACCCTTAAGCCATTGCAACTTCTTTTTCTTCAGAGATGGTATTTGACATTTTCAGCACTTCTTGTTCCTATAAACCCAAAGAATATAATCTTGAACATGAAGTGTTTGTAACAAGGATTCCAGGCTACCAATCAAATAGGACTCATTATGGGGACAAAAAAATAACTTCACCTTCTTTCCCCCCACACCTCATTTAAATGGGGGGCGTCAAAATGCCTCATTTTACTTTAGTTTCTTTATAAAGAGGCCAAAATAAATGCGGAGCAACTTCTCAGAATAGTATTCCTGTCCACACATCAAGCCGGACAGCGGAAACTGGACAGCTGTGGGGATATTAAGCACCCCGCTTTCAATTCTTAAATTCAGAATCTCGTCCCCTCCCTTCTCATGGAAGGCGATCGTCCTGGTAGCTAACGTTCCCCTGTGTGGGCGGAGGGAATGCCGGCTTCAGTTTTTCATGTCCCTGTGACTTGCATACAAATGGTTCAACTGTATTAAAATTAAGTGCATTTGGCCAATAGGTAGTATCTATACAATAACAATCTCTAAGACTTTCCATAACTTTTCTTACCTGAAAGGACTCAAGTCTTCCACTGCAGATACATTGGAGGCTTTGCCCACGTTTTCTTTCCCTTTAGTTCTTTTGCTGTCTGGGTGGCCGGTGAGCCTGTCCCCTTTTCTGTGGCCAATCTGAAGGCCTTCATTGGAAGCGCTGTTTACAGTCATCCTTACCAAGATAACATCCTGTCCTCCAGAATACCACGTATTAGGTGACACTAGCTCGAGCTGTTGTTGTCTTCAGAGCAGTTACCAAGAATCTCGGTGCATAGGTTTTCTCTGGTTCTTACAGGAACTACCTACTCTCTCAGTTACCTGGTCCAGGAGTGGGGTAAATCCTTGAGTCAGTGCATTTGAACTTGATACCTGTGCATTCAGTTCTGTAAAGACTGCCCTTTTTTGGCGGGGTTTCTTCCTCTCCCCAGCCTGACTACTCAACTCTAAATCCAAATTAGTGTCAGCTGAAAGGAGGTTTCAAGATAGTCCCTGTCAGTATTTGTGGTGACCTTCAGATTAGAGTCTTCGTTTCCAGCCAGTCGAGTCCTGGCCCGAGCGCCATCTGTGAGACTCGTACCACTGGATGTTTTAATAACGGATCATTACCACCAAACTTCCAATCATATGCCTCCCACAGGCCAAGGGAAAACAGACACCAGAACTTGGGTTGAGGGCACTACCAGACTGACATGGCCAGTACGGAGGAGAACTAGGGAAGGAATGTTTTGCACCTTATTGAAAAGAAAATTTTAAGTGCATACATAATAGTTAAGAGCTTTTATTGTGACAGGAGAACTTTTTTCCATATGCGTGCATACTCTCTGTAATTCCAGTGTAAAATATTGTACTTGCACTAGCTTTTTTAAAACAAATATTAAAAAATGGAAGAATTCATATTCTATTTTCTAATCGTGGTGTGTCTATTTGTAGGATACACTCGAGTCTGTTTATTGAATTTTATGGTCCCTTTCTTTGATGGTGCTTGCAGGTTTTCTAGGTAGAAATTATTTCATTATTATAATAAAACAATGTTTGATTCAAAATTTGAACAAAATTGTTTTAAATAAATTGTCTGTATACCAGTACAAGTTTATTGTTTCAGTATACTCGTACTAATAAAATAACAGTGCCAATTGCAGGTGTGCGTCTTTGCCTTCTGTTGGGTCCTCTAAGAGGAGGCCAGGAAAAAGGTATTAATTTCTCCTATTTACCCCTGCTCTCCCTGGGTAGGTCGGACGTGGGGAGGTTAACAGGAGGCATTGCCTTCACTGCTAATTTTTTGGGGGGTGAAGAGTGTGCTTGAGATGAGGTTCTAAGATAAAAGGCACATATCCACACCTGATGTCTTGGCTTCTTCAGTTCATGCTTATGTCTCCTAGCTGAACACTGCTGTTCACAAGAGGTCTATTTGTCTTTAAATGTGATAGCTTCATGGGCTCATGGGGCATAACCTATATGCTCTTTAAGATTTGCTCTAAACTGGTTAGGTCTGAAAGTGGAAAATTTATTATTTATTGTATTTACTGTAATTCAAGCTCATTAGAAATTCAATGCGGAGGCTGGGCGTAGTGACTCATACCCATAATCTGAGCACTTTGGGAGGCCTGCTAACGCCCAGGAGTTCAAGACCAGCCTGGGCAACATAGTAGGACCTCATCTCTACAAAACATAAAATTAGCCGGGTGTGGTGGCACATGCCTATGGTCCCAGCTACTTGGGGGACCGAAGTGGGAAGATGGCATTGGGCCAGGAAGTCAAGGCTGCAGTGAGCCATAATCATACTGCTGTACTCCTGCCTGGGCGACAGAGCAAAACTCAGTCTCAAAAAAAAAAAAAGTTCACTTTATGAAGCCTCTGCTTCAAAATGATCCTGGTGAGTTTTTGACTTTTAACTACTCAGTCTCCATTTCCCTAAAAATTGGATTGTTAAGAACTTGCCTTTGGTTTGTGGAAACGAAGAGCCAGTCCACAAAATCTTTACAGAAGATGGGTAAAGCAGCACGTGTCCCCACAAGGGACACAGGCCTAGGGGTGCCACAGTGGACAGACAGGTGTCATCCTCCCTGACCACTCCATTCTGAAACAAGTTCCCTTACTACTGCTAGTCCATTTTTAACAGCTCCCTTTGAGCCAAATCATGAGCAAACTTCCATTCACAATTGCTACAAAGAGAATAAAATATATAGGAATACAACTAACAAAGGATGTAAAGGACCTCTTCAAGGAGAACTACAAACCACTGCTCAAGTAAATAAGAGGACACAAACAGATGAAAAAAACATTCCATGCTCATGGTTAGGAAGAATCAATATCATGAAAATGGCCATACTGCCCAAAGTAATTTATAGATTCAACGCTATCCCCATCAAGCTACCAGTGACCTTCACAGAACTGGAAAAAACACCTTAATCTTCATATGGAACCAAAAGAGAGCCCACATAGCGAAGACAATCCTGAGCAAAAAGAACAAAGCCGGAGGCATGCTACCTGATTTCAAGCTGTACTACAAGTCTACAGTAATCAAAACAGCATGGTACTGGGACCAAAACAGATACAGACCAATGGAACAGAGCAGAGGCCTTGGAGGCAACACCACACATCTACAACCATCTCATCTTTGACAAACCTAACAAAAACAAGCGATGGAGAAAGGATTCCCTATTTAATAAATGGTGTTGGAAAAAACTGGCTAGCAGTGTGCAGAAAGCAGAAACTGAACCCCTTCCTGACACCTTACACTAAGTTAACTCCAGATGGATTAAAGACTTCAACACAAGAGCTAACACTATAAAGACCCTAGAAGAAAACCTAGGTAAAACCATTCAGGACACAGGCATATGCAAGGACTTCATGACTAAAACACCAAAAGCATTGGCAACAAAATCCAAAATAGACAAATGGGATCTAATCAAACTCCAGAGCTTCTGTACAGCAAAAGAAACAATCATTAGAGTGAACCAGCAACCAACAGAATGGGAAAAAATTTTTGCAATCTACAAAGAACTAAAACAGATTTACAAGAAAAAAAAAACCCATCCAAAAGTGGGAGAAGGATTATGAACAGACACTAAAGACATATAGGAGGCCAACAAACATGAAAAAATGCTCATCACCACTGATTATTACAGAAATGCAAATCAAAACCACATTGAAATACCACCTCACACCAGTTAGAATGACAATCATTAAAAAATCTGGAGACAACATGCTGGAGAGGATGTAGAGAAATATGAACACTTTTACACTATTGGTGGGAGTATAAACTAGTTAAACCATTGTGAGACAGTGTGGCGCATACTCAGGGACCTAGAAATAGACATTCCATTTGACCCAGCAATCCCATTACTGGGTATATACCCAAAGGATTATAAGTCATTCTGTTATAAAGACACATGGACACATATGTTCATAGCGGCACTGTTTACAATAGCAAAGACCTAGAACAACCCAAATGCCCATCGACGACAGACTGGACAAGGAAAATGTGGCACATATACACCATGGAATACTATGCAGCCATAAAAAACAATGAGTTCGTGTCCTTTGTAGGGACATGGATAAATCTAGAAACCATAATTCTCAGCAAACTGACACAAGAACAGAGAATCAAACACCGCACGTTCTCACTCATAGGCGGGTATTGAACAATGAGAACACATGGACACAGGGAGAGGAGCATCACACACTATGGTCTGTTGCAGGGGAGCCAGGGGAGGGACAGCAGTGGGTGGGAAAGTCAGGGAGGGATAACATGGGGAGAAATGCCAAATGTAGGTGACGGGGGGATGGAGGCAGCAAACCACATTGCCATGTGGGTACCTATGCCACAATCCTGCATGATCTGCACATGTACCCCAGAACCTAAAGTACAGTAAACACACACACACAAAAGCAGAAGTTGCAATTCTCATCTCTGATAAAATAGACTTTAAAGCAACAAAGACCAAAAGAGACAAAGAAGGACATTACATAATGGTAAAAGGATCAATTCAACAAGAAGAGCTAACGATCCTAAATATATACGTACCCAATACAGGAGCACCCAGATACATAAGGCAAGTTCTTAATGACTTACAAAGAGACTTAGACTCCCACACAGTAATAGTGGGAGACTTTAACACTATATTGTCAGTATTAGACAGATCAACAAGACAGAAAATTAACAAGGATATCCAGGACTTGAACTCAGACCTGGAACAAGTAAACTTAATAAACATTTACAGAACTCTCCACCCCAAATCCACAGAACATACATTTTTCTCAGTATCACATCACACCTACTCTAAAAAAGTGACCACAAAATTGGAAGTAAATCACTCCTCAGCAATTACATAGCATTTCACAGGTTTAAATGAAATATTGGTTGGCTGCTTGTTATTTTCCTCCCTTATTCCTTCCTGTCTCCATTGTTAAGCACACTTATTGGCATAAAAGAGGTTTTCAATACCCATTTTTAGACTGCATTCTAGCCTGGGCAATAGAGCTAGATTCCCGTTCTCTTTCTTTATTCTTCCTTTCTTTCTTCAAAAAAAAAAAAAAAAAACTCTCTTTAAGATGTCCTTTCCTTCACCCCTCTCCCTTATTTTGCAATAGTCTCTTAAAAACGAACATTTGAAGATAAGCATAAAACACACCTTCCAGAGGACCAGCCAGAGAGCCTCACACCTCAAAGAGGACACGGTGGGGAGCCTGCAGCCACGCCCCACGTCTTGCTCCATGTTAAACAGCCTCTTGGCCCTCCTGTCTCCAAAGTGCAGCCCTTGTATTTCTAAAGGTGCAAGAGTTACTCTTAATGAGCTGGGCGTGGTGGCTCACACCTGTAATCCTAACACTTTGGGAGGTTGCAGTGGGCAGAGGCCTGAGCCCAGGAGTTTGAGACCATTCTGGGCAACATGGCAAAATCCTGTCTCTACAAAAAATACAACAATTAGCTGGGCATGGTGGCAAGGTGCCTGTAGTCCCAGCTACTTGGGAGGCTGAGGTGAGAGGATCACTTGAGCCTGGGAGGTCAAGGCTGTTCACCACAGCTGTGATCCCGCCACTGTGTTCCAGCCTGGATGACAAGAGTGTTAATAATTTTTTTATTTTAATTTTTATTAAATTATTTTTAATAATAATAATTTTTTAAAAATCGTAAAGGATTTAGTAGGGAGAAGTATTGCACTGGACTGAACACTGCTGGATCTCTCAACATATTCTTAAATGACCAGCAGGCCTGTACAATCCCAGAGTGAGACGGTTCTGCTTGCACCCTTCTCACGCCCTCAGTCACTGTGGACAATCAGGCCGTTCATTCACCCTGACACAGCAGCACCCTGTGGCCCTTCTCTACTCCAGGGTCACTGTTTGCCTTTCCAAAGAAAACTGACTTGCGTACCTGCTCTTTAGCCTTATCAAAAAGTCAAGTAAAACATCCTCATCTGAGCTTTCCAGGCCTGGAACTCAATACTTGGAAGTTAAGTGGCCGGTCATCCCTTCTTCTGTGTTCACTGTTTAAACAAGCATCCTGGGGGGCTGCTGCAGGTCAGCTGCACAGGCCGGTTCTCCAAGACGTCATTGTTCCCAGCCCATTCACTGACCTTATGTAGTAGTGCCGTGTGGTCCTTCCAGGAAAGGATTCCCTGGCGACAAGAGAATGTCTCTAACTCCTGTCTCAAGCCAGTACCTTTTAGGGTGCCGCTAATCAAAGGTGTGGCTCTTCTGCAGTGCATCTCCACTTGCTGACTTCTCAGGAGATAACCTTTCCATAAAACATCCAATGGAAATTCAAAGGGAGTTGGAACTGAGAAGGTGGGGGTGGGGAAAGATGGAAGAAAACAAAATGAAATGAGAAGCCAGGACAGGGACAGCTTCCTAGAGGCGACAGCAAACTGGTAGGGACAGATGACTTGTCCCTGACAAGCACGTGTAATGAAAGTCTCAGGAAAACACATTGCCCCAATCTTGTGAGTATCAGCTGGGAAAACTCTCTCCAGTTAATTGCTTTTGTTCTTTTCTAGCAACCAAAAGCTACAGGTGGGGGATGCCACCACCTCTGGCTTTTGCTGGAAAAGCTAGAGGTGGTTACTCTGACTCTGGCCTGTCCGCCCCCACCCCCCCCCCGCCCCACACTGTCCTTCTCTCCCTGCTCCTCCTAAGGTGACTTGTCTGCTAATCACCAGGAGTGGCTTGCTACCAGCCTGTCTAGAAAGAAGGCAAAACAAATCCCAAACCATTCAACATGACTCCTACAAATACAAACTCCAGCACTTCATCAAGTCTTAAGATAATAGCATTATATTAAAGTGAAACCATCTTCTTTTAAAAAAGAGAGAAAGGTGCAAGTGTCGGTTTGAACAATGAGGTTATGAGTTCTGGGCAGCAGGGCTCTGACGTTGCCCCAACCAGTGCCTTGCGTCTGGGTCCCCGAGAAGACACACGAGAGGGCACTGAAGCTCCAGGCGGCAGGAGGGTGGAGACAGCACACAGCATTCCACCATTCAGCAGCAGTCAGAAGCTCAGCCCGAGCAGACTAGGAGGGAGATGGGAAGAGCAGGTTTGGAAGCTTCCGCTCGGGCAGGACGCCGCTTCACTCCCGGGGTTAGCTGAACACGGTGTTGTGCTGCTGGGTCACCCGGATGAACGTGGCCCTCCTGCTGAGCTCCTTGAGTTTGGCGGCCCCCACGTAGGTGCAAGTGGACCTCAGTCCCCCAAGAATATCCAGGATAGTGTTTTCCACATCTCCTTTGTAAGGCACTTCCACAGTCTTCCCCTCGGAGGCTCTGCAAGACAAAGGCAGTTTATTTTTTTATGGACATTTTTTCCCTTTAGGAGCCCAATTAGAATCATTCCCAGCTCCAGCACTTTCTGCAGCCCCTGAGGCACTCAGAAAGCCAGACCCCGCCCTCTGACCCCATCCCCACATTCTACCAAGTGCCAACATGCCTCCCACCCAAAGGGCACGGGCTCCTTGCTGCAGCCCTGCACACTGGGGACAGCAAAGTCCTGGTGCGCAGCACTTGAAGGAGCTGGGGGCACAAACCACCCCGCTTGGTGACATTCTCTCCAGCAACACGCTCCCCTCTGCCCCTAACAGAAACCACCTTTACCTTTCTATTCTACCTCAACACGCACACCAACTTCCCAACAGCCAGAAGCCAAAAAGCCCCAAGAAAGAGTGGCCCTGACAGATGCCCCTGGCAACTGCCTCCTGACCTCCTAGACCAGTCACAGGAAAAGCCCAGAGCTTCACCTCCTGCCTGCCCGCTCTGAGATCAGAAACCAAATGTCTTCAAGGGGGATGACCAGGACTTAGAATGGACAACTCAGGTCCCACCAGGTTACGTGGAAGTTACCAGCAAGTTGAGGTGGCTCCATCCTGATCGCCTGCCTGGCCTTCTGCCTTGGTGGGTACACAGGCACCCCAGTTTGCCTCCCTGTTCTCTTACAAGTCACTACACCTATCCCCCTTCACATGTGTGGGTCCAAGCAAGGTGGAATCGGAGGAGAACCGAGACCTGTCTTAGTTCTGGAGGCTTCCGGGCTGTGGATTGCATCTTTCACGTTTTCATTAGATTATTTAGAAATTCACAAGGTCCGGCCTATGGCATGAACACTAAGCAACATCTCACTGTCCTCACTCAGCCCAGGTCCCTCTCTTCACAAGGCTACCCGGTAACACTGCGTGACTGTTAGTTGGGTAACACAGGTTATGTCCCCGTCCTGCAACATGGGGATGTGGTCCAGACTGTATTTCCAGAAGGAAACCTGAAATTTCGGCAAAACTCTAGCTCTCATCAAAGGGCCAGCAAGTTCTAACAAGTACCCAAATTCTGGAACTTTTTGTAGCCGTTCTCTTCAGCTGGAAAAGAGCATCTCTCTCTCTTTTTTTTTGAGATACAGTTTTGCCCTTGTCACCCAGGCCGGAGTGCAGTGGCACAATCTCAGGTCACTGCAACCTCCGCCTCCTGGGTTCAAGCAATTCTCCTGCCTTAGCCTCCTGAGGAGCTGGGATTACAGGCACGCGCCACCATGCCCAGCTAATTTTAGTAGTTTTAGGAGAGACATGGTGAAACCATGTTGACCAGGCTGGTCTTGAACTCCTGACCTCAGGTGATCCACCTGCCTCGAAGAACATCTCTTGACTAGACATTCATTACCTAGAATTTCAAAAGGGTGTTAATTCTTGGTCACTGAAGAGGCAGGACTACCCATGGGTAAAATTTAGCTACATAAACCATCAGCTGGTTTAGAGCCCTAAGTTCAGGAAGCCAAAGTCACTGGCCTTACCCAGGACAGTGCAGGGCTCAGCACTCTATGACCCCAGACGGGCATCTGTGCTCACATGCCTGCAATGATGGACATTTCGTTTTCCTAAGGTATTTCCATGGCCTTCCTGGGGCTTGTTGGAAATTTCTAGATTCTTCTCATTGTTGCTCCTTTGCTAAGTGTTGGTTTAACCTTTGACAAGTTCCTTTTTTGCTGATGCTTAAGTCTGCTTATCTGTCAAATGAAGGTACTTTGCTTCCCGCCACAGCGTGAGAATGAAATAGTTAATGATTGGAAAAGAACCAGTAATGTGTACATAACTGTGCACATAAGTCATTTGTCAAAGTCGGGAAGCATTCTCATGATGAGATCACGGTCATGAGGCTGAAAACTGCCAGACGGGAGAGACAGAGAGAGAGAGAGAGAGAGACTCAGAAACAGAGAGAGGCAGGCAGGTACAGCCTGCTCAAGCTGCAGCTTTTACATTAAGGTTCATTTCCTTAGCAATTTCCTTCCTTGTCAAAGATTTGAATCCACTTCCAGAACTGAGTCTTGCCACTGCTGAATCTTTTTTTTCTGTTCTATCTAAACCCTGCTGAAATTATAGGAGACGATTTTTCTTTCAGCTCTTTGGCTTCTGTTTGTAGCATACCCTGATCTACTGTAGACTTCCTGATCTATATATATATATATTTTTGAAACGGAGTCTTACTGTTTCCCAGGCTGGAGTGCAATGGGATGATCTCAACTCACTGCAACCTCTGCTTCCCGGGTTCAAGTGATTCTCCTGCCTCAGCCTCCTGAGTAGCTGAGATGACAGGTGCGCGCCACCACGCACAGCTAATTTTTATATTTTTAGTAGAGATGGGTTTCACCATGTTGGCCAGGATGGTGTTAATCTCCTAACCTTGTCATCTGCCCACCTCAGCCTCCCAAAGTGCTGGGATTACAGGCGTGAGCCACCGCGCCCAGCAATTTTTTTTAGAACCCAAAACAGAGGCAACCACGAGGGCAAAACAGGTACTCCAGGCAAAGCACCTAACCGCTGCTCACCCATGAAAGCTCCGCTTACATTCTGGCAGAGGAGACATGTGGAGGCCCTTGGACGCTGACAATCATTGCTGGTAAAGCACTAAGCTTCTTGGCCATAGGTCCAGCTCTGTACCTCCTCCTCCTCACCCAACTGTGCAACCTCCTCCTCCAACAGGGACTGCATGGAGGAAAGAGGGCCCGGGGGGCTACCTGGGAGGAGTGAGTGTGCCCCGTGTTTCTGATTGGCGCAGTCCCCATCAATCTTTCCCATCCTGCTTTTTCCCATGCTACAATATCTTTATGGAGGTTCACCACCAAAAGAGAAAGAGACCAGGGAGAATGAGACTGAAGTCAGTCAACCAGAACCCTATGGAAGAACAGAACTCTGGGAGAATACCCACACCTCCCCAAATCTCCCCACCTACAAATCTCAGTGGAGTTCTGAGATTTTGCTGCTAACTTGATATGAACTTTATATAATACATCTGAGTCCCAGGTCCTCAAAATGAGCCTTTGGGTGTGGAATGGGTGGTAGGAAATAAAAGGGTGTTGGCCAGGGAGGGCTTAGGTTTCCACTCCAGCACTGGGACAAAGTCTGAAAACGGGAGGGAAAAGCCTGAGGTTTCCTGGGGAAAGGCGACCAGCCAATTCACAGCCTGCTTCCCTCTGCGGATGGAGGACCTTCGGTCCTGACCCCATGTTGTATTACAGCTTGTTTTCGCAATGAGAGCCGAGAGCAGGCTCTATGGAGCAGGGTGAGGCAGTGAGTATACAGTCATCAGGTTCTTTTGTTTTTGAGGCAGGGTGTCATTCTGCTGGCCAGGCTGGAGCACGATGGCATGCTCATAGCTCGCTGCAGCCTCCAACTCCTGGGCTTAAGCCATCTTCCTGCCTCAGCCTCCTGAGTAGCTGGGAGTACAGTCATGTGACAGCACACCCAGCTAATTTTAAAAGTTTTTGTAGAGACAGGGTCTTCCTATGTTGCCTAGGCTCATCTGGAACTCCTGTGCTCAAGTAATCCTCCAACCTTGGCTTCCAGAAGCATGGGGATTACAGGCATGAACCACTGTGCCTGGCCTCATCATCAGGTTCTTCAAACACATATATATGTAGACAGTTAAAATGGAAGTGAATCGGGAAAGACCCAGGTGTCTTTGGAAACCATGGGTTAAAAACACATATCCGGGGCCGGGCGCAGTGGCTCACGTCTATAATCCCAGCACTTTGGGAGGCCAAGGTGGGTGGATCACTTGAAGTCAGGAGTTTGAGACCAGCCTGGCCAACATGATGAAACCCTGTCTAAACTAAAAATACAAAAATTAGCTGGTCATGATGACAGGCAACTATAATCCCAGCTACTTGGGAGACTGAGGAAGGAGAATCACTTGAACTCAGGAGGGGAGGTTGCAGTGAGCCAAGATTGTGCCATTGCACTCCAGCCTGGGCGACAGAGTGAGACTCTACCTCAAAAATAATTAAAAAATACAAAATAAAAACACACATCAGAAGTGAGCCCCACTTCGAGTGGATGACACGAATGAATGCTCAAAACGCTGCCTGTCGACTCTCAGAGCCTGCAGGCAGGGGAGAAGCTGTACGAGCTGCACGGCGTTCTTCAGGAAAGGCCTGGCCACCTAGACCACACCTACTGCTTCCGGTGCAAGAGGAGAGTCATTCTTCAACTCCAGTCTTCCAGCCTCAACTCCCCTCAAGCCAGAGATCAAAGCTTACAGGGATAGCTCAGCAATGGTTCTACTGGAAGGACAAGGAATAATCCCACCCACCCCAGAGGTCTGGAATATTCCCTTCAGGACTGGAACTCACTCACACATACCCCTGGTCACCCTTCCAACCTGTCCCCAAACGCTTCTGCTCTGTGCTTGCTTTTGGGAACCCCAAGCACTGCAAATGCTAACTGGATAAAAATTAGGGTTCTTTAAAAAGAACCCCTTCCCATGGTGCTTTCATATACACAGAGCTGCTATTTAGACCGACTTCCATCCCATCTCTGGCAGAAGCAAGAGCAAGGTCAGGCCTCGAGGGTGTGTCTCGGGGGTCGCCCCTCACCTGTACTCAGCAACTCCTCCTGCGTGCTTCTTCATGGCCGTCTCTGAGCTCATCCCGTAGAAGAGCTTGAGCTTCTGTCCATTCCTCTCAATCACTTCTCCAGCACACTCTGTGTGACCTGAAAACATCCCTCCCAGCATGACAAAATCGGCTCCAGCTCCTATATGCCAACAGTGGGGACAAAAGAGAGTAGCAGAGAAAAGAGCGCAGGGGAAGCAGGCTCCCCCAAAATCCAAGTGCTTGCCCAGTATGCCTCCCCCTCCGCCAGCTGTAGTCAAGAGAGATGATGGGCCTCTCACATCTCTCCTGGAAAAAGGGAGAGGGTCTCCACGCAGGGAGACAGGGCCAGGGGACACGGGGAGAAACAAATGCAGCCACAGTGTATGGGGCTGGTATCCCCTACACTGGACCATGCGTAACGTCTACTAATGGCTAACTAGGACCACCTTCCTCAGATCTAACTCTTCTAGAATCAGAGAAACATTAAAAATCAGGGAGTATTCTGCCAGGCGCGGTGGCTCAGGCCTGTAATCCTAGCACTTTGGGAGGCCGAGGCGGGCAGATCGCTTGAGGTCAGCAGTTCAAGACCAGCCTAGCTAACATGAAACCCCGTTTCTGCTAAAAATACAAACATTAGCCTGAAATCCCTTGAAGCCGGGAGGCAGGGGTTGCAGTGAGCTGAGATCATGTCATTGCATTCCAGCCTGAGCAACAGAGGGAAATGGTCTCAAAAAAAAAAAAAAAAAAAAAAAAAAAAAAAAAAAAATTGAGCAGTATCTTAGAAAGCACGTTATCGAATCTTATACTTCACGCACCGACTCCTCTACATGCCCCCTCAGGCGTCTGGTCTGTACTTGAAGCTCTCTGCACTCTGACACTCCCAGAGCTATTTATAGGTCAGGAAAGGGCCTCAGAACAGAATGAACCTCCTACACTGGAGACGTCTTCAAGGAAAGAAGCCCCTGTAACATGGAAGCCTCGTAAAACTCTCCCTGCACCACCACTGTGCTACGAATTAGACTTCCAAACTAATCCAAACGCTCCGCCATACTAATCATCACCCAATGACTACCCTTCCAGGACAGGCACAGAGGAGACAGAGGTGCTGAAGCTACCCGTCTTTGTGGGCTCTGATGGCACAGGCCTGGGGCTGGCTCTATGTTTATCCCAAGTGCGTGGCACATGGTAGACGCTAAATGATTAAGCTGTCAAAAAAGGAAAGGAACTTGTGGGAGAAATAATAAAAATGGTTCTCATTCCCCATCTTGTTCACGGATCACTGTGCAGAGACATTCTTCTTTGCCTGTTAACTAAGGAATTGCTACAACCTCCCCTCCTAAGTCCTACTGAGGGTTCACATTTAGAACAGAACAAGACGGCAGGCGGCGGGGCGCAGATGCATTAAGAGGATGAAGGAGGAGGGGAGCCTGCCAAATCCTAATGAGGAGGAGAAAACGTAGGAACCCCTCAGAGTGGCCCTGACGCCTTCAATCTGGTCATTTAAACATCGGTAGAGCACAATAGGGTTCTCACTGGCATTACAGTCCATTCTGTATCGCATTGGCGTTACAGACGGAGAGGTATACATTTCTAGCACTTAGGGAAGCAAGGCGCAACACAACCTTCCTACATGGCAGCTACCTCTGAAGACCCCCCTCCCTTCCAGGGTTCCTAACATGAATGCTGACGCCCTGGGTCCTCCTGCCATGATTTTAAGGAGCCAGAGGATAACTGGTGTCCAGCCAGGACTCCTGATGACCACAATTCCAGGAGCAAAGCAGAGGAGCAGATGTCAACAGCAGGAACACAGAGACACACTGAAAGAACGCATTGACGGGTTCCCAGCCCTTTTCGTTTTGGGACACTCTGGCATCCTTCCCTGACACCGTCCCTCTCCCTCTACGGAGTCTCTGCACAAGCATGGCTGCACTGACTGACAGACAGTCGAGGAGGGAATGACACCCAAGGGAGACTGAGCTGAGCGTGGTCCAAAGCCCAGGAACTGTGATCTGCAAGGCACCTTCTCATGTGTTGGGCTCCCTCTCTGTACAGAGAGCATGTGTGAGGCAACACAGAGTCCAAGATGCACCACCACCTGTATTAAGTAGGTGCAGCACAAAAACCAATCGCGGCCAGGCATGGTGCTTCACACCCGTCATTCCAGCACTTTAGGAGGCTGAGGCAGGCAGATCCCCTGAGGTTGGGAGTTCAAGACCAACCTGACCAACATGGAGAAACCCTGTCTCTACTAAAAAAACAAACAAACAAACAAGAAAACCCACAAAATTAGCCAGTCGTGGTGGCAGGTGCCTGTAATCCCAGCTACCCAGGAGGCTGAGGCAGGAGAATTGCTTGAACCCGGAAGGCGGAGGTTGCAGTGAGCTGAGATCGTGCCATTGCACTCCAGCCTGGGTCACAAGAGCAAGACTCCATCTCAAAAAAACAAAACCACAATCGTAAAATTGCCCTTGGCCAACGATCCTTACAACAACACAGGGTATGAGACAGTCCCGGTTAGCAGAGGCACTGTGCTCTTCTCTTTCTGCCCCCGATTGCAGGACTGTGACCTTGTCATTCCCCCCTCAGTTCCCTCAACTATAAAACAGGAAGCTGGGATCAGTGGAGGGTCTGTAGATTCCCTTCCACAGATAGGATCTAGGATTAGGATGAGGTTAAATCCCATTTTTTATGACGTCTTTTGGGTTGCTCTGAAACCTTGTTACTAAGAACACTGCCCTACGTTTTCCTTTGTCACTACCAGGGTTGTTGGCTGAACATTTATTTTGTAATTTTTTTTTCTTTGAGACAGGGTCACTCTGTCACCCAGGCTGGAGCGCAGTGAGGCGATCTTGGCTCACTATAACCTCTGCCCATGTTCAAGCGATTCTCCCACCTCAGCCTGCCAAGTATAGCTATGATTACAGGTGTGTACCACCACACCTGTGTAATTTTTTTTTTTGTATTTTTAGTAGAGACGGGGTATTGGCCAGGCTGGTCTCAAACTCCCAGTTTCAAGTGATCCACCGACCTCGGTGGATCCCACCAAAGTGCTGGGATTACAGGCATGAGCCACCGCACCAGACTGAATTTTTTTTCTGGCATCAGCAAAGGGTGAGGCATGGGAGCTTCGGTTCTGCCTCCTGCCGGCACCCACAGCCCCTGGAGCCTGCAGCCACAGGGCCGGCGCTGACTTCCGAATGCAGTCTGCAGTTCAGTGGCCAGCAGGGGCTTGACAGCTGTGCTTTACTGCCTGTGGTGCTGAGATGCTCGACCTCTAGTGCTTTCCCAAGAAAAGCTCAGGACCTGCTGCCCTCCCACCACGGCTCCCTGATCCCCAATCCCAAGGGCTCACAGCAGGCACTGCTGCCCCCTAGTGGAAGGCAGGCTCCAGCCTCCAGTGAGAAACCACTGAGGGACTTTTCCAGGCTGGCTCCAAAAAACGCCCCCTGTAGTTCCCACACAGTTCCCTGCTCTGGGATGAAAAGACCATGACTTCACCCACTCCTGGCTTGCAGGACGTTACCCCTAGATCCATCTCCTGGGGCATCTGTGGCCTGCTTTGCCGTGGACCAGAAACAAACCAATGCTGGGATCTGGGCCAACTGGGGCTGAAACCCAGGGAAAGGAAGCTCCAGGCAGGCCCAGAACTTCCCCAGCAGGTCCCCCTCCTCATTCAGGTTGCCACCTGGAGAGGTGCAGGGAGCCCCCTCCCTCCTTCCTTCCCTCCTTCTGCACCAGGGCCCGGTCTTACCAAAGGCTTTGGCGACATCCCCTGGACATGTGCAGCCTCCATCCTTCACAGAGGAAAAAGCAAGGACAGGACAGTATCAGTGGGAGCTCAGCCAGGCTGTCCCCTACCCCAGGATGATCCAGTGACTAGGGGTTCAGACCCGCCACAGTCCCCAGCAAGCACAGGGGCCCATGCCCCCCACCACCACCACGGCTGTTGCTGTCTCACAGGGTGTGTATTCCCCTCAATATTGCATCTTTCACTCCCAAGCCCATCCAGACTTCATCTGTGGGTCAGAGGCTGGCATCACCCACCACCTGCCCGCCTGGGCTCAGGCACTTCTGCTGGCGAGCAGAAGGCAGCAGGAGCTGTGAGCGGTGGGGGTGGGGGGGGCTCGGCCCTCATCGCATGCCAGCCCCTTATATAACACACCCCACCCTTCCACCGTCCACACTCATTCTCACTCAGGAGTCACCTTTCCCTCTCTGCCTGGTGTGAGGTGTGATTTATTTAGTACAAAGGTTCAATTCTTTTAAGAGCCAAGAAAAGGACATTGAGTTAATCCTTTTATCTTTCCAGGTACCTCCCCGTCTCCTATTCCTCACGTATCATACAGTTACCTTAAAATCAAGTATCTGTCTTCCACCCACACTACCCATGCAGAGCACGCCTGGGCTGGCCGAATGTGTAGCAGGCCCCGTCTTTAACTTGGGCTGCTTAGCAAGGTTCAGCTATGGGGGTATGGTTCAAACACCAGCCACAGTCCAAGCCTTCTAGGATGCAGAGCTAGCTGCATTTGCTTACAAACACAAGACACCAAACGCCCAGGCCGCTACCTGCTACTCACTCCTAATGTAGTCTGGGTTTGGTTCAAGGGGGGCAAGGACAGCAGCAGTTCCCTGGAGCAGCAGCCAGATACACAGGGACAGCCAGAGGCCACATGCAAGGGACAGCCACGGAGGCCACGGCACAAGGGGAGACAGCATCAGGGCTCACGTGACGGCGACACAGCCCGAAGGTCAGTGTGGGTCTAGGATAAACAGCAGGGCCTCTGAGGGAAGCACCTGTCCCCAGAAGGTGGGACCCATTTTGCGAAGGAACGGAGGAAAGACAGGGTACCCGGGTTACCCCGTGCCTGCAACCTGCAGGAAGGTACATGCAGGTCTGGAATTGGAGGGCGGGAAACTGGGATGAACCATCCTGAAAAGGACATCTCAAACTGAGAACAGAGGGTGTCTGCGACTCAGTCCTCTTTATCCACCCATGAGGCCTGTCATCACTCCAGAGGTAGGACTTCAATATTGTTTCACTTCTTTGCAGCTCTGATCAAAAGGTTAAGTGTGAAGGCTGGACCTTTTCTTCACAAACATTTACCGACTACAATTATGTCCTCCATCAAATGTGTTATTCATACATGGCTCCTCTGACCCCCAGAGGGCCACAGAGCACTGGGGACTAATTATTTCTGAAGTAGTCTTGCCGAATGTGATCTGGCCCAAACCCTCCATGTGGAGACAGGAACAGGGCTTGCAGCTCCATACACCTTGTTAACGCACCTGGCGTATTTATTTACCTTTCAGAGGTACAACCTTAAAGTGCCCTTCGCTTGCCATGCCAATTAATTTCAAAGTGCTTCATCTCTTTATCAAAGCCAGCTCTACACAGTTTCACACTTTTGGCCTCAAACAGATTAAATAAACTCATGTTCCCATTAAAATAAGTCCTACCTATGTATGACTTAAAAAAAAAAAAAAAAAAGAGCTGGGTACAGTGGCTCAGCCCTGTAATCCCAGTACTGTGGGAGGCCGAGGCAGGCGGATCAGCTGAGGTCAGGAGTTCGAGACTAGCCTGGCCAACATGGTGAAATCCCATCTCTACTAAAAATGTAAAAATTATCTGGGCATGGTGGGCACCTGTAATCCTAGCTACTGGGGAGGCTGAGGCAGGAGAACTGCTTGAACCCAGGAGGTGGAGGCTGCAAGTGAGCTGAGATCACGCCACTGCACTCCAGCCTGGGGAACAAAGAGCAAAACTCTGGTTCAAAAAAATCACTCTTTTGTTCACCTATTTGTGTCTCCTGTGGTGTCCTGAAAATTTCATATTATTGTGGTGAGTGAGGAGGCCTGACTCACGGGCCCTGTGCTATGGGACCCCAAGAAAATCAGCCTCGCTCTTCCCAGGATGGGCCAAGAGATCCACAGTTAATACAACTGTGTAACGTGTCGCAAAGAGGAAATCTTATCACGGTGTCATCTGCACACAGGGTGCTTTTGTATGTGCACTTGTGAAATGGACAGCGTAGACCACACAAGCCCAGTTGCACATTTAACCAAGAGCCACCCAACGTCACATGGTGCCTCAGGACAGACAGGGCAGTCTGCTTCCTGCTACTATATTTCCAAGTGTTCAAAGTGTCCTGCCATGTTCTCGGGAAGCAGAGTCGCTCCAGCAATCTAAGACACACATATGTCTTCACACATAAATATTCACAGCTGCTGAAAGGTTGTTAAAAGCATCATCATCATCATTTGGGCTAGTATTTAGTTCTATGCAAGTATTCAAAGCGGTAATTTACAAGGAGTCCTTTTTTTGTTTTTCCAAAAGAATTAACATTATATTTAAGTACAAACGGCACCACAGGACATGAATGATAACTTGTGAATTGTCAGCCTGCCTCTTTTGCTTAAAAATACTTGCTCAGCACCCAGGTACATAAAGCACGTTCTTAACAACCTACAAACCCACACAATCGTAGTGGGAGACTTTAAGACTCCACTGTCAATATTAGATTAATGAGACAGAAGATTAACAAGCATATCCAGTACCTGAACTCAGACCTGGACCAAGCGGACCCAATAGACATCTACAGAAATCTCCACCCCAAATCCACAGAACATACATTTTTCTCAGCACCGAATTGCACCTACTCTAAAACTGACCACATAATTGGAAGTAAATCACTCCTCAGCAAATGCAAAAGAATGGAAATCATAACAAACAGTCTCTCAGAGCACAGTGCAATCAAATTAGAACTCAGAATTCAGAAACTAACTCAGAACCGCACAACTTCATGGAAACTGAACAACTGGCTCCTGAATGTCAACTGGATAAACAATGAAATGAAGGCAGAAATAAAGATGTTCTTTGAAACCAACAAGAACGAAGACAGCTGTGTACCAGAAACTCTGGGACACATTTAAAGCAGTGTCTAGAGGGAAATCTACCACAATAAATGCCCACCGGAGAGCGAGGAAAGATCTAAAATCGACACCCTATCGTCAAAATGGAGAGAGCTAGAGGAGCAAGATCAAAAACACTCAAAAGCTAGCAGAAGACAAGAAATAACTAAGAACAGAGCAGAACTGAAGGAGATAGAGACACAAAAAAACCCTTCAAAAAAAAAAAAAAATCAATAAATCCAGGAGCTGGTTTTCTGAAAAGATCAACAAAATAGACCACTATTCAGATTAATAAGAAAAGAAAGAATAATCAAATAAATGCAATGAAAAAACGATAAAGGGGATATCACCACTGACTCCACAGAAATACAAACAACAATCAGAGGTTATTACAAACAACTCTATGTACATAAACCAGTAAACCTGGAAGAAAAGGATAAGTTCCCGGACACTTAGACCCTCCCAAGGTTAAACCAGGAAGAAGTCGAAACCCTGAATAGACCAAAAACAAGGGCAGGAGTTGCGGCAGGAATTAACAGCCTACCAACCAAAAAAAGCCCAGGTCCAGATGGGTTCACAGCCGAATTCTACCAGACATAGAAAGAGGAGCTGGTACCATTCCTTCTGAAACTATTCCAAACAATCCAAAAAGAGGGAAACCTTCCCAAATCATTTTATGAGACCAACATCATCCTGATACCAACACCTGGCAGAGACTCAACAAAAAAAAGAAGACTTCAGGCCAATATCCATGATGAACATAGATGCAAAAATCTTCAATAAAATACTGATTACAACAGCACATCAAAAAGCTTATCCATCACAATCATGTAGTCTTCATTCTGGGGATGCAAGGCTGGTTCAACATACACAAGTCTACAAACATAATCCACCACATAAACAGAACCAAAGACAAAAACCACATGATGATCTCAATAGATGTAGAGAAGGCCTTTGACAAAATTCAACAGTCCTTTATGCTAAAAACTCTCAATAAACTCAGTATCGATGGAACATATCTCAAAATAATAAAAGCTATTTATGACAAACCCACAGCCAATATCATACTGAATGGGCAAAAACTGGAAGCATTCCCTTTGAAATCTGGCACTAGACAAAGATGCCCTCTCTCATCACTCCTATTCAATATGGTATTGGAAGTTCTAGCCAGAGCAATCAGGCAAGAAAAAGAAATAAAGGGTATTCAATTAGGAAAGGAGGAAGTCAATCAAATTGTCTCTATTTGCAGATGACATTATTGTATATTTAGAAGACCATATCATCTCAGCCCAAAATCTCCTTAAACTGATAAGCAACTTCAGCAAAGTATCAGGATACAAAATCAATGTGCAAAAATCACAAGCATTCCTATACACCAATAACAGACTTAAAGAGAGCCAAATCAAGAACGAACTGCCATTCACAATTGCTACAAAGAGAATAAAATACCTAGGAATACAACTAACAAAGGATGTGAAGGACCTCTTCAAGGAAAACTACAAACCACTGCTCAAGGAAATAAGAGAAGATGCAAACACATGGAGAAACTTGCCATGCTCATGGTTAGGAAGAATCAGTAACGTGAAAATGGCCATACTGCCCAAAGTAATTTACAGATTCAATGTTATCCCCATCAAGCTACCAATGACCACCTTCACAGAACTGGAAAATACCACCTCTTAAACTTCATATGGAACCAAAAGAGAGCCTGCGTAGCCAGGACAGGAATTTACCTGCCTTTTTGTTCTAAGCAAAAAGAACAAAGCCGGAGGCATCACGCTACCTGGTTTCAAACTATACCACAAAGCTACAGTAATCAAAACAGCATGGTACTGGTACCAAAACAGAGATATAGACCAATGGAACAGAACAGAGGCCTTGGAGG